AGATATTTTGTATTGAGAATATACCTATAATTTTATTACAAAAAAGAAATATTTAATGATATAAACTCAATGCCCCATATACAGTGTATGCAATGCCCTTAATGTTCCCTTGGACATAAAATCTAAAATTTATTCTGGGAAGTGGGTTCCTTGGTAAGTAAAGAAAATAGAAGTTTTACAAAAAGTTTATAACTACTTAGTACTTGGAAGTCGGAGGACATTTAAGAAAAAATAAATAAAAAACCCGACTGCGTAAAAAGTGAACTAAAAAGATGACAACTAGTTGACGAAGAAATATAGTTTTATGCAGTTGTAGGGAACATAGAGTCAATACACACATATAGGTCAAACACAATCCTTTGGGCTTCGCCGCAGTCGGTTAAAAAGCAAGATATTTCCCTTACACGATGAATGCTTTCCCCAAGAACAATCAAACGAGAACTGTTTATTATGTATAACAGATTTAAAATACGAATGTTTTTAAATTTTTGTGTAGGTGTATATTTATTATTTATTGTCTCATAAATCTATTTTTATAATTGATAGTTTTATCGATCGCCATACTATTTTTATATTAACATTTCATATGTAAGCAAGGAACCGTATCTGGAACACCGTATGCGCCCTATTTATATGCGCCATCGGTTCTACTACATAAACGGGAAAGATAAAATTATTTTATTGCTTATGCTGCAATCAGTCTAGATTTTTTTTTTCTATTTGAATATTATGAATTACTTAATCTAATATATAAATATCTCGTGTCATGGCATTTGTGGTCGCACCCCTCCGAAACGGTTCGACCGATTTGAATGATGTTTTTTTATATTTGGTAGATATGAGAATAAGTCGTAAAGTTTTTCACCCTCCTACCCCAACCCCCCATTTTTATCACGATTTTAGTATTTTTGTATGAACAATATTATAGAAATACATAGCTACGAACCTGAACGAAGCGAGGATGAGTCGCTGTAAAACATAAAGCCAAAAAGTTTTTTTGTACATTGAACGCGGACGTAGCCGCAGGCTCTGTTAGTTCTATAATAAAATATTATTAATTATTCAAATAGAAAATAGCAATTAGTTTATTCACTTCTTTCACTTTTTCATATTTTTTGAAGACTTTGTTTGAATATGAAGTTGTGTTAATTTTTTGTATTTGCATTATAATAATTAAGGTGACTAATATTGTGACAGCGCTTGTCTTGTGGATTATTGTGTGCTAAATTAAATTCACGGTACTTATTGTCATATGACGTTAAAAAATAACTACTACTGCGTACACAATCTACTATTGAATTATTTCAAGTCAAAATTTTATATCGCTAACGTTTATTTAATATAATAAGTTGTTCTCTATGATTTGTGTAAGTTATTATAAATATAAACAGCTGGGATATCTGTTTTGCTATCACATTTTGAATTATTATTTTGGCAGCGTTTGATCACGGATGCGTTTTGTCTTCGCTGTATGCCGCGCGTTGTTTTATATCAGTATTTATAGTACACGATACTCCTCTCATTAGATAGTCCGGGAAATTAGGTCGATGACTTCGTGAACTTCTAATTTGGTAAATTATGTTTTGTTGTTTCAGTAACTCTTTGGACTAGTTTTTGCGAAAAAAAAAACAAACAAATTATACTACCTTATATTCTATTTTTTATTATGAAGACAAATTATTATTATAATTTTATGTTGATTATGTTTTGTATGGTAAAAATAATTGTTTTAAGCGATTTCCATTTTAGATTTCGGGCTACTGCATACTGTGTTAAAAACACATCAGTCTAATTTTATTACAGATATTTTAACAACAGTGACCTAAAATGTACATGAAGAAGAAAACTCAAATGTGTATGCCCCAATTATTGACCTAATGTCTGAATTTACACGGTTTTCGAAAAAAATTGATGCTGTCATTGACCGACCTACATATTTTGTGGTGGAATGATGTATTGCTGAATGACACAGCCAGCGCCGCGTAAATATAGATTCTGGCGGATTTTTTCGAGGTCACGTTAGAGACAGCGAAGAGGGATACGTTGATATTAATTACGTCATAGGCTGCACACGCGCCATGAATGTTTTATTTTAGTGTTAATTGTGGACGTAGGCACGGAGCTCACTGATGGCTAGTCCGTCTTCGGTTGCCAAGGGCCGCATATTTAGAATATAATCTTCGTCTTATTTAGTTCTTAAAGAACTATATAATATGTGTAGTAACTTTAAAATTGTATATATTTACTAGCGGACCCGACAGACGTTGTCCTGTCTACACGTCTTTAATTTGAAAATTTCAAACTTTTTTTAATAATTTTTTTGATGAAAATTATTATTCAAATTGTGAATCTAAACCATTCCCAGATCCCCTTGAACACACACAAAAAAATTCATCAAAATCGGTCCAGTCGTTTGAGAGAAGTTCAGTGACATACACACTCACAGAAGAATTATATATATAAAGATACTTGTAGTACTTTAAAATGTTTTAGCTGCAAATATTTTTTGTATCATAAACAGGCGGATTTGAATTCAATGAAGTAAATGTAATTTTATTACGAAGGAAACAATTAATGTTTTACAATATGTCTAGAGTACTCGACCTTTATCCGTATAGTGAGACGACATAAAGATTGCTAAGATGATGTCACTATTTTACTGGTCTATTCATAACTTTATTGGGAAAATATTAGACATTATTACATTTATAAAAAAAGGTTAACGTTTTGTTACTGACAACGCGACGTGACGATCATTTGAAATTAATTATTGGAAATAATGTTTATTACTTAAAAACATTCCTATATATTTTTTTATCATTGTAACACTGCCTATAAAAATTTGTAATTAATAAAAATCGGTTATTTGGAAATTACTTGTGTATAAACCTCCGCACTAGCGAAATCTAATTTAAATAGAATAAGTTAAAATATTTAAAGAAAATCTTTAAAATATTATAAGATCAATTTAGTTAAAAAAATATTATAAAAATAAAAACCCAACTATATAAAAAGCAAACTAAAAAATGAGAACAAGTTGACGAAGGAACGTAGTATTATGCAGTCGGATACATACGCCCACATAGCAAGACTAGCAGCTCGTATAAAACTTATACACGAGAATGTCTCCGAATGCATAATACTATGTTCCTTCGTCAACTGATTCTCAGCTTTTGTAGTTCGCTTTTTACGCAGTCGGTTTTTTTTGTTTTTGTAAATTATTTTTATTATTTACATCTTTTTAGTTATAATTAGTTAGACATTTTTAGTTTTTTTTTTAAAATTGTCCTAAATTATTTTTAAACACATAAGTAAGTATGTGTTATATTTTTGTAGTCGTATTTTCAAAATTTGTATTTTGACACCCCACTCGATAGATTCAGATGAAAAAAATGTTTTCGCCGCACTAATTGACTTCTAAGATCCGCCATTTTCATGTTGTTGATATCTGTATATCTACCTATGATACTCACGTTATCAAGACGAATCGAACGAAGTATGAATCTTCAAAATCGGTTAAGCCGTTCAGTAATTACGAGGGAACATAGGGTCGGACATACAGGTCAAACACATAACCCTTCTTTGGGCTTCGCTGCAGTCGGTTAATAATTTATTTAACCGAATTAGGTATTGCATAATAATGTACATTTTTTGAAATGAAATGAAAGATAATATATCTTGCATATTATCGGTGTTCAGATATAACTTCCGCAAGTTAGAATTGCGAGAATTTAGTATTTGTATGTATGTAATTAAATTTAATAAGTAATATGTGATAAAGTAATTTATATATATTTTGTAACATTTTTGTATAGACCAGAGACCGTCGTGAATTTTTTCGGTTTATTCCTCGCGGGTTAAACTACCGACGACGCCGCGCTGGTCAATAAAACTAACGATTTAAGCTTATTATATTTTAAATTAAGCATGGGAAGCGTCTTTCATTTTAGTTACCAGATAAGAATAGTGAACCTAACTTAGTTTTTATTCATTATTGCCTAATATTCAAGGACAGCGAATGAACTTTTAAATAATTTGCTTAAATGCTTTGCGATTGCGAGAAAAAAATTACGTTTTGCTACAAAATAAAAGTTATATCTTTTTTAAACTGCCTTTGCGATAATTTTAAAAACTTGGTAAATATTCATTTCAATTCAAATATAAAAATGTAATTAGACCTTGAATAATATTTCTCTTTTGAAAATTGCGCTACAGTACGTAAGAACGTGTTGTCTCCTGTTCACGTCAAACTGAGAAAAGACAGTTACAGATCTCGAACATCTGTAACATCTGGTAAAGTGCCAGTTCTTAATGAAAAAAGTACTATGTGCAAATATAATGTTATGACAATAATGATATAAGTAAAATATTATTCTATTAGTTGATATTGAATGTATGTTTGTTTAACTATTTATTTAAGAGAATATACATATTTTCCTTAAGCGACAGCGATGTTTTTCAAAATAAATTGCTTATTCAATTACATTCACTGAAGCAACGGTTATGATTCTTCCGCTACGTGCAATAAAACAAAATTTTGTATCACATGGTGGTTGGCTCCAGAGCAGCGACACGCGCCAGCGACTGTGGCACTGACCCTGTAGTGGTTCCGTATTGTTGCACAATGCATTTAATGCACTATTAAAATGCATATAACAGTTTACATACAGCTTGTTATTGTAATTACCTGATAATAATTGTTTCAGAGTACTTTTCTTATTAATATAGAATTTTAAATATATATAATATGTATATTTTCTGTCTGTGTAACTGCTGCAATATTAAAATTGAATGCATTGCGAAGAAACATTATATGTATACCTAGGCCTAGTCCTAGTAATCGATGCGAATTTTGAAAGCTTTGCAATTATTATAAAAAGACAATATACTATAATGTACTAGTAATATTTTTATATTAAACTTCAAATATTATAATTTAAAAAAACGAAGAAGCTTATTTTCCAGATGAAATGTTTTACTATAAGTTGTCCTTATTACAGGCGTGCATTGATGACAATTTGGAGATGGTTGAGTTTCTGGTGGAGCACGGGGCTGATGTCAACCGAGGAGATAACGAGGGCTGGACCCCGTTGCATGCCACCGCTTCATGTGGATTTATTAGCATAGCTAGGTAAATTTTGGTATTATTGTAATACAACAATTAGCTAATTATCTAAAGTCGACGCTTTTAGAATAGCTTCTTTTTAAGTGCGTAAAGACACTATTTTAGGAGAAATCAATTTCTGATCTTCACTCTCTCTAGCTAGCAAAATGTTGTATAAACTTGTGGAAGGTTGAATCACGATAAATTATTTAAATATCATATCTATGTTAAATACGGAATATTATATGTTAATGATGTATATAAAAATGTAAAAGTTATAATTGGAATAATATGATGATTCGTATCCTTATAGAAATACGAAATTTTATATTTTAAAATTGAAACTACTCGTATGTTTTTGTTTCTTATCGTGAAGGACATCATTTTTAAATTGAAAATATTATCAAATTGATAGATAATATTATAAGTTACCAAAAGTTTACTCTGCATAGTACGAGCGAACCGTTTTCGATTCATTCGGTCCCAAGCTTAATATTTTCTTTACTCAAATGTTCAACTAATATTTAAAACGCCGTTATGAAGAAAACTAAAGATTGAAATACTACATTTCTACGGGAACTATTTGTTATATGTTGTATATGCTGAGTCTTTCGGAGGCACAAACGACGTGGGAGCAAAATATCATTATGATGGATTGAGTCGTTGGGAGGTAACAAACATATTTATAAATAGTCAAACACTTTAAATGCCAAATCTGCGCGTCTTCGTATATTGTTTAAAGCGTCTATAGTCTATACCTACTATGATCATTACATTTAAGGTTTAATCTTATTCAGTTTTAACCACTGAATGTCTACCATTCTTACATCTAAATACATATCTTAGAAAAATAGTGCTACCAATTCTGACGTTATATGTAATTAACGATAGTTGATAATTTATTACTGTAAATAACAGCTGATTCATTCGACCCCGTTAGGGACGTTAGGGAGTTCCTGTATTATGGTCATTTATTCATTGTATTTTGTTAATTGTTCGCGAACCGATGACATGTTTGATGACAATACTACTTATGATTATTCATATGTTTTTAATGGTCATTTCCTTTTGATTATGAAAACAATGGCCTGGATAATATCTAAGATTGACCTTTGTTACAACTAATGTTTGTAGCTAAGTAATAACTAAAATGTAAAAGTTTGTCAATTTTTCTACAGTAAGACATTCTTTCGCTTTAGTATATATGTACGTATTGATAAAAACTATTTGGAAAATTATAAAAGATGTTTATAATATGTACATATACTTTATTGATTTTAGGTATCTTCTAGAAAACGGTGCAGATGTAGCCGCTGTTAACTACGACGGAGAACTTCCAGTAGATATAGCTGAAAGCGATAAAATGGAGGAACTGTTTCAGAAAATTATTGATGAAAAAGGTATTATATTCTGTACTTGTGTATATTATATTGGAACAATAACAACTTAGAAAGGAGCTTATTATTGACTCATACATATACATGTAATATTCTTGGAATTCGTCATTTTCCAAGAATATGCTATTTTTCTTGAGAAATTTATAACATTTCATAAGTGCATGTTTGTCTTTGGATATATCAAATTACATTACGTGGATTGTTATAATTATTTTGAGCTCTGAATGACTGTTCGTATTTGGAAAATTAGTACACTAGGTACTTACCCTGCCTTTACTTGGGTGTGACCACCTGTGCCTTTTGTATTTATATTATTATATTACAGCAGCGTTACATTTTTACTAATGTATTTACTAACAGTAACTTATGTGTCTCCAGGTCATAGTCCATCTGTGTATTAAATTTCATGCAAAACCATCAAGCCGTTTCAACGCGAAGGAGTAACAAACATACATACACATAAAAACTTTAGGTAGTCCGATATGTACTATTTTAATATTATATTACAGGTATAGATTGTAACAAGTCGCGTAGTGCAGAGGTGGATAATTTGTTAAGCGATGCAAAGAATTGGGCGGCGAATGGCTATGTCGAAGTGAGGGACCCGAAGACAGGCGGCACTCCGTTGCACGTGGCAGCAGCAAAGGGTTATATTGATGTAAGCTTCTTATAGTTAACTGACTACAAAAAAGAAGTATGTACTCGAGTTGAGTACTACATCTTGCGTTGTCGATGAAAAGAGTTTTAATTAATCTGTAGCACTAACCCCCCTACCGCCTTACTTAGTGAACAATACCCCTGAGTGTACATTATTTTTCTAGCGTTCTTAACGTTTTAGTTTAAATAATGTTTACTTAACAGATTTTATATAACTTGTTTAGTTAACATTTTGAGATAAAAGAAAAAGGTTTATTATACAGCTCACAACTCTACACTTCTTGACACTAGTGGCTTAATGGATTGGAGTAAAATTCAAAGTGTAGATACTTTATCTTTGGATAGTGATCATGGGCTATTTCTTATTTACGTTAAAGAGCGCGGACAAAAATCAGATAAAAATTAAAATCATTATTTATTTAAAAGTTGTAAGAAAATACTGCCTATTATATAATAGTTATAATTTACAGGTAGCACAAACACTTCTAGAGGAATGCGATGTGGAACCGGACTGTGTGGACTATGAGGGCTGGACTCCACTTCATGCGGCCGCTCTATGGGGGCAGAAGGAAGCTGCCGCACTACTACTGAAGAATGGAGCTGACCCCAATATAAAGAACTATTCGGTAATATATTTCATTGTTTTTGTTGATATGAGTAATCTGAATAACACCGAGATTTTGTCCCTGCCTCTTTTAAATTTGTTTATAATTAAATGGTATTTTTTTTATTTATATCATAAAAAATCATTTAAATGTAAAGAAGTATTCATAATATTATATTTTTTTATTCCGAATTTTCCAATATTGCAGCACACAACTTTTTCATTTTATTGTGAACCTGAAATCTACGTTTTAACGTTTAGTATAGATTTCCCAGAGATTACATATTTTCCCGCAGAATAAATCAAATCCTATACGTTCAGCCGGATTACCAGCTATCATCATACCAAATTTCATCAAAATCTGTCCAGTGGTTTTCTTGTGATGAGGTCACAGACCGACAGACAAACAAAGTACTAAAAACTATAGATTCGGTCTCTGTATCGATAATAATGACTGTTACTATAAGATTGTCCAAAAAATATTTAATATACAAATTCGACTCATATTATATATTCCGAAAATTTTATTATATGTATAGATAAATCTTATTCGATCTAATCAGACATTTTAAAATTAGCCAAATCAGTCCAGTCGTTCTTAGTGATACGTTTATTTATAGATGTACCCATTAGGCACAATTTTTATGTTTAATTGTAATGGATCGAACTGACTGTTGAATACGATATTAATACGTAATTGATGTTCAATTGTTAGTGACAGTGTTCTGGAGTGTTTAACCTTTTAACTTTTCTCTATTATAAGCGATATTATATCGAATACCTAAATTATGGCAAATAACATTTTGTGTTCTTGCAACACTTGACATTGATCTATATTAATATTATAAAGAGAAAAAATATCTTTTCCTGTATGTTTGTTTGTAATGGATATACTAAAAATCCGCTGAACTAATTTAGAGGTATAAATATAGTTTGAGACCCAAATCATCCCTTAAAAAAAGGGGTAAAACGGGGATGAAATTTTGTATAAGGAATCAATAATTTCTTAAGTAAGGGACAAAAAGCTAATCATACTTATGTATATATATATATATATATATATATATATATATATATATATATATATATATATACTAACTGATAGACCGTAGATATAGGGACGAACCCGAGTAAAGCGATAGTGAGTCGCTAGTGTACTATATTTTGATAAAATTCGAGTGAAATTTTTGCTATTACAATTAAATCTTTTCATATTATGTTTTAGTAATAAATAAATACAAATACTGAATACAAAAGATATTAAGCTAATAATAATATAATACTAAGAATATATTAAACTTTTATTGAAAATTATTAAAAAAATATTATATTAATTAATAAAAAACTTTATAGAAAATATATTGCCCCTTTATAAGTTTCTTTAACTTTATTACTGAATTATGTAAACTTTTCTTATAACATAACGAGCCTCCAGCAAACACTATAATATTAGATACAACACTTTAATTTAAAAATCCTATCAGCAATACATAAGATGTACTGCGCCGACCCCAAGTGATTGGGAAATGGACAGGGAAACACACACACACTTTCATTTAAAAATCATTTTAATCTACAATTTTAGGCATTTTTGCTTTACTTTCATTTTTTTACTAGGGAGGGAACGTAATCTTCAATTGCGAGTTTAAACATAATCATAGCTACATTTCACAATAAAAAAGTTGCTGTTTAAACAATCTTTTATTTATTACAATATAAAATAGAAGCGGTTATATTTATAGCCTATTATCTGTTGTACAAGCTACAATAATATAGTTTTTTCAATAGTTTTTGCATGAAAGAGTAACAAACATACATTCATACATCGGCGTACAGTGTTTATGTTTGGAGGATATTCAGATAACTTCACGCTATATCCCCTGCGAGGTAGGCAAGGAGGACAGAGTGCCAAGCGCTACGATCTCCACATACTTCGCTTCTTTCATTGTTATCATTCTCTTCATACTCGCTCGTCGGGAGTCCCCAGACTATTGACTTCTTAAAGTGTTAAAAGTATTTGCCTTTTAAAGTATTAAAAACCACATGAACACCATTTTTCTATTTTTAGCATTTTGAACCAGCCATCCTGTGAATATCTATATTGTAATCAAGTAGGTAAGAAAATAATGGTTTAATTTCAACGACACGTTTGGTTCAGTTTGTAGTGACTCTGCTTGTTGTGCCAGCGGTCGCGGGTTTGAGTCCCGCTGGGGGCGTTCATTTGTGTCATGAGTTATATATGTGTAGTGAATCAACTATCTGGTATCCATAACACAGGTCTCGTAGCTTAAAACAAAAACAATCTTATCCCACGGGCAACCGTACATTTTCCTAGATAAATAGCCTATTATAGCCTGTCTTATTCCATATGTCTTATTCCAGTCTATAATATACATATCTCTGTGCCAAATTTCATCCAGATCCGTTCAGCCGTTCGGGCGTGAAAGAGTAATATAGATCCATTATTCCACTAACAAACTTTCACATTTATAATATTAATACCGATTAATTTATTAATTTTCCAGGGTCAAACATGTGTGGACCTGGCGGATCCGAGCATATCGACGTGGCTATCGGAGGCGTGCCTCAAGGCGCCGCGTCGTGTCAATAACAACAATAATAACAAGCGAAAGGGCAGTCCCCCGCGACACGACGTCAAGCGCGTCGAGCTGCAGATCACCGGGCAGATGGACGGTGTTAATGGTGTGTACATTGCGAAATTGTTTTTTGTGATATACTAATATCAATTAAACAACTCGTCACTACGTGAATATAACCAATCCCCGACACAACATCATGCGGCTCGAGTTGCAGATCACTAGACAGATGGACGGTGCTAATGATGTGTACATTGCGAAGCTAGTTTTGTTGATATATAATATCGATTCCCGGCACAACGTCACTATGTACAATCAAACTCCGACATGACGTCAAATGAGGTGAGATGCATATCTGGACAGATGGACAGTGTTAATGGTGTGTGCATTGTGAAAGTAGGGTGTGGTGATATTAGTTCATCGATTTGACATCGAGTGGGTCGAGCTGCAGATCACTGGGCAAATGGACAGTATTAATGGTGTGTATGTTGTGGAACTAGGGTTTCATGGCATCAGTTGTGTAATCTATTTAAAGATGTGATGCATCAAATGAATTGCCCAATAAGACAGATTATTGAGAACTAGCGTCTCACCATCTTGTCGATCGGATACGTCCCTACGTACGTTTTAGCGATTAGTATGTAATATATAGACAATATCTATACTAATATTATAAAGAGGTAAAGTTTGTGATATTGTGAGTTTGTGAATTTGTGATGTTGTAGGGGATAATCTCTGGATCTACTAAACCGATTTAGATGAAATTTGGTAAGAAGATAGTTTGATACTCTGGGAAGGACATAGGATACTTTTTATCCTGGAAATTATCCCTTAAGGGTCCCGTAAGGGTAAGTTTATATGGGGAATCAAGCTCGTATTATATGTATATACAGGTACGATATAACATAGGCATGGATGAGTTGTTGTGGGTTGTATTATAATGTGTTTTCCCTTGGAAATGAGATCCCGCGGTAATAAGTAGGCTAAATCACTATCTAGCACTCCAACTGACTCCACATAAATCACTCTGTTTCAACGTGAAAGAAGGACAAACGAACAAACACACTTTCACATTTATAATATTAAAGTATGGATGCAATGCTTGTCCCCTGATTTAATACGTATTCGCATTATTGTATTCAGTCAGTCGTAAAATAAGTTATTTTACATCCTTAATAAATTATGAAATTACTATTAGGAGTTTACAACTGAATTTGCCTGAACTTACGCCACTCGTTTCTTAATGTGAATTAGTCTTTATAGTTTATAATTTACGCCAGTGGGAAAGATGTATCTGATAATTGCTCGGCGAAATCCACAAAACCTCTATTAATATGAAAATTTATCAATCACCTAAAAGCCTCCGATTTAGCTTAAACCTACCTACTAGAATTAGTTGTGATCGAAAATCGACAAATCTTGTCACGCAATTTACCTTGTTGTTTTTCATGTATTTAATATTAGCTAACTAGCCCGTTTACCCAAAGAAGGCATGATGTGTCGCAAGCTGTCTTTTTGAAATTACTTCATAGGCCATTTTATTTTTCGTATTAGTGACCTACCTTCGGTTCACTCGGGTACATCCCTAGGCGTCTAAAGTATAAAAGGATATTAAAAAACTTAAATTAAAATAAGTATTTGCCATAACGTGAAATGTTCAATGTAATCTTTAGTTTATCTATACAGATAATTAAAATGTCTGTTTGCAATGTCAAAATAACAGCGTTTTACTAAATGCATATGAAATTATATACGGTACTTATAAGAAAAACACATTTTTTTTTATTTTTGTCTATCTGTTTGTTCTGGATAATCTGTGAAACGGCTGGACTGATTTTGACTGGACTTCAACTGGAAGATAGCTGATGTTATAAGGAGTAACATAGGCTACTTTTATTTTAGAAAAAGAATTAGGGTTCGGCTGAAAAAATTAAAACTTACCTAGGGACAACCCGAGCGAAGCGAGGGTGAGTCGCTAGTTAACTATAAATGATACTAAATAATTAATTAATTACTATATATGCAGAAAAACCTCCGGCCGCGCCGGAGATAATTCCTAAAATAGTGGAGAAACCACCAAAAGGACGTGCACCGTCACCTGAAACTACGGAAGCCACTGCCGACAACACTAAGATTGACGAAGCGCCCTCCTGGCGCAGATCGGCTTCCTTCCGGAACAGACAACAGGATAACACGCGTAAGTTATTGTTTAATATGGCTTCGATTTTATTATTATAGTGCTTGATCTATGTCTAATTCGTGAAGTCTCTTTAAGGAGGTATATTTAATAATAAAATGATCCTAAACATCAACATTTCAATTTTAAAAAATCTTCCATTCAGAGGAAAATAATAATAATAATAAATTTCACAATTTGTATAATTTAAAAATGAGAAATGAGGTATCTGTAAATCAGCAATTAGGTATCTGTACTGGGACATTATGAGTAGGAAAGAGAAATTAAATTTTATTAACATCCTTATACAACCCTTTTTTTTTAACGTTGGGAAATGCATTTACGCACGACGTGTGGGACTCACCGGCGTAATACAGCCAGTACTACCCACTAAAACCCAACAAAACCTCCCCCCGTCTTATTGGGGCGTCGCAGGATCGCTTACGCATTCAAATACGACGCCCCAACGGCAGGTCTGCCAAAGCAGACCACCACAACCTTGGGGTTGCTCCAAGGTCCACTCTGTTATCAGAGAAGTACCAGGAGCAACCCGCATGGTACACCGCCCCCCGAAGAGGGCCACCTCCCACCGCCCACCGAAGTGGGCAACCTCCCTGTGCGTTTCTTAGTTTCGTACTACTACTACTGAGCTCCCCCACCACGACAAGGTGAACGCACGTTGGGGGGGATCCTTATACAACCTTTTTTTTTTTTTTTTTATTGTCGGGAAATGCATTTACGCATACCACCTGATCCCCCAGGTGGTGATGTGGGGCTCACCGGCTAGGAGAGCCGGTACTACCCACTAAAACCCGACATCCCTTCCCCCCGCCTTAGTGGGACGCCGCAGGATCGCTTGCGCATAACTACTACGGCGCCCCGGCGGCAGGTCTGCCTAAATACTAGGCAGACCACCAAACCAATGGGGCTGCTCCACAGTCAACTCTGCTACGTCAGAGAGGTACCCGGAGCAGCCCCATAAAACCAAAACACCGCCCACCGAAGTGGGCCACCTCCAATCGGCTGCAGAGGACAGGGAGAGCGGCAACGAAACACCGACACTCCTCTTCCCCTGCAGCCCCACCGCGTCCGCCATCAAACGGTGGCGGCCCCGTCTAGGCCGCGGAAGGTAGGGAGAACGGCGCACCGAAATACCGGCACTCCTCTCCCGCCGCGGCCTACCCCTCCGCCGGATGCGGGCCTGCGACCACAGTCCCGCAACCGGCACCCATCATCCGGTTGTGGGACCAAGCGGTCCCACCACCGGTGGCCGCAACGTCTTCGGCTCGAGGCCTAGACGAGCGGCCCCATCCAAGCCATTTGGTCCGCGCCGGATTTCTCCGGTACCACCCGCCCCTCTAAGCGGGTGGCATTCCCCTATCCGCCACCTGGGGACGCGCCCGGTAGGAGTTGGCTTCTCCCCCGGGATCCTTATACAACCCTACCGTTAGGCTCGAATGGCATTTTGAATTAATTCTCATAATAATTAACATAATTTTAAAAATTCATAAAATTGAAATATTAGATTGAGATACGACTTCGATTTGTATATAAGAAATAAGTATTTTATTTGCGATTTTTGTTTTGTGAATTCGTAATATTTATATAGATTTAATAAAAAAAAAAACTCTCAGTAGAGATCTTACTTAATACAAAACATCAATAGACGTTAATGTTGATTTTCTCTATATTTTGTTAATGCCATTATGGCATACATTAAGGAATGATGGAATACAGAAGAAAATATATAAAATTCAACTGAGAATAATTGATGTTTTATTGTGTTTTGTGTAATATTAATAAATCATTATATAACAGTGAGCGTCACATTAAATCTATCAGAGCATGACGCGAGTCATCAATGCAGAACTGACGTGATTCATTTGTGTGGATCGAAATAAAACATACTTGACTTATCAGTCCAATGATTATATTTAATTACATTGAGACCATTTTGCTATTTTATGGGCTACTTGTCTTATAGAAATATTAAATAATTACTATCAGCAAATTCTTAGACTCTATTTTACATAGAAGCTTATTAAATTTTATGCTTTCACCCATAAAAATAAAAAATAAAATAAATATGTTGGGAAATTCTCACACAGCACCATCACTACACATATATAAATACATACTATAAATATAAACGCCCATGACTGGAGTACAAACTACAAATATTCGTGCTCTTACATTGCAGTTTTTGTATTTTTTCTCAGAAATGAGACATTTGCCCGCGGTAAAAAGTATCCTATATGTTGACCCGAATAACCAGCTATCACCATACCAAATTTCATCAAAATCCCTCCAGTGGTTTTTCCGTGATGCGGTAACAGACAGACAGACAGACCAAAATTCTAAAAACTATAGATTTGGCCTCAGCATCGATAATACTAACTATTTCAATAAGATTTTTCAAAAAATATTTAATGTACAGATTCGACTTAGTTAGAATTTTATTATATGTATAGATAATATCTGTAGTAACGATAACAACACTATTTAAAAACAAAATTGAACACTTTTTGTTTAACTAAACAAAAATAAGATATTGAGATTTAAGATATAATTTAAAACATATACATATGAAACGACTACATTATGTAATATACATATATTAATATGTAATATCATAAACATTATATCTATATATTTTTTCCAGGCGAGAACAAACCGATTAAAAATAATTTGGATAATGATACAATATTGAGGAGGACGCATAGTTTCGAGAATGACAAGACGTGAGTTTTTAATATATATTTTTTTGTAATAAGTTTTCTTTCTACATTGACAATTTCAGGACAAAATATTTTCGGTATTGACAATACAAGTTTACTAAAATACCATGTACATCATCATTTCAATGCTTTCATGTTTAGTGCTAGCTATTTATGGGAAGCTAATTTTGTTGGGTATGTTTTTGAAAAAAGTTACAAAGCAAAAAAAAAAAACTTAACTCTATTCTTATTAAAAGGCCTAAAAATCTACGCTTCAAGCGTATACATTGCTCAATTTTAATAACATCGTGATGGTTAAAGCAAGTCCATATATTTTTATTTACATTTTTTTTAATATTATGGATTTGTATTTGCTACCACTAAGCAATACCTTAGAATCAATGATAACCTTTATTGCAGAGAATGTTTTTGTAAAACTTCATGATATAATAACCTCATTTACATTTGTACACATGCATAAATGTATCTGTCAAATATGTGTTGGGCTTTGAGACTACTTTGTTGGGGTGCTGTGCTGTGTAATGTACATTTTCTAGAAAAAAAAAAAATATTTGTTTGAAAAACCATGTTCAATTTAAAGGTTAATTTAATCATAGTTGGTATTAAATCATATTTACAATTAAAATAGTTTAATCAGGAATTTCAGTACGCTAGTAAATGTTCATAAAAGCTTCGGGTAGCGTAATATTTGTTAACTAGTAAATTAAGCGAGCCGTGACAATTAAAGTATACTTTACTTATATGCACCTCTACTCTGTCAATAAAATGTGAAGGTTTGCATGATTAAATCATTATTAAATCATTATGTAAATATATACAATACAAAAAGTTATATTAAAAACGTAGGTTTATCAATCAATCAGTTGGAAGTTGTTCAAATCTATACATATAATAAAATTATAACTGATTGCTGTCTGTACATGGAAGATATTTGAGAAAAACTATTATTGGAGGTGTTTATTATCGCAATAGAACCCAAAACAATGCTTTTTGGATTTTTTGTCTTTTTGTCTGTGCGTTTGTGCGCGCTAATATCAGAAACAGCTTAACTGATTTGAGTGCAGTTTTCACTAATGTATTGTGGTAACATTTAGTGTTTGTTTTATTTCAATCGGTTAGTAAATAAAAAAAATTAGGTCTATATTATTTATTAAAGTGAAATGATAAATATTCATTGAATTGATATAAAAAAATTCTTAATAAGATATTATAAACTACAATATCAAATCAAGAAATATAATTAATTTAATTACGCACGAAATGTTTAACTAAGACTATTTTTAATGTTTTTTTATATTGTAATATTTATTAAAAAAATTAAAAATATATATTATATTGATTAAATTAATTACTAAAAAGGAATTAATAATTGAAAATCGACTAACTAACTTCCTATTTAAGTACATGTACATGTCTAATATTTAACAAGTTTCATGCATACCTTCATATATTTCACTTGTGTAATGAAAATAGAACTAGCTCATATATTCAAAATAGTACAACAAGCATTACGCAGTGACAGCACGTCACGCTGACGTCACGTAACATTATATAAAGAGGAGATAGGCCATAATAAGCTTCCCGAAGGAACGTCGAGTATCAATTTTCAACATTACGTCGTCTTAGTGCTTGCGACCATACGACCAATTTACTGAAATAGTTCTTATTCTTAATACAGGATAATTTACTTTTAAATATAAATTCTATTGGTGTTAAGTACATATTTAAGTTTAATAAAGCCGAAAATATACATTTTATCTATATATATGCATATAAATCTCAGAGCTTTGTTTTTTTAAATAGAAGATATAAATTCTACTGTAAAGTGCAACAAGTATTGGTCGATTGAACAAAGGCGACTATTAGTCTATGCCTATTTCATTTGATATCCAGTAATGCACAAAAATATGCCCGAATTATTTTTATTAATTTTCAAACAATAAAGCTAAATAGTTTAAATGCTAAATGGCCATCATCGGGTCTGTCTCAATTGTGTCAAGTGATTTTGAGTTCTTTGCTTGTTTCTGTGAACGTCAATCTACTGAACCGATTTCAATAACACTTTTTGTATTTAAATAATCTCTATTAATCAACAACTCTAATTATTACATACATATATGAAAATAAAAGTTTAAAAGTTCGCTACATTTTTACACTAACTTTTGTACTTTTATGTAATTAATTAACGACTCACCCTTGCTTCGCTCGGGTTCGTCCCTAGCTTGCTTCCCAATACAAACTTTAATTTCCATTTTCACCCCTTCAAGGGAAGATTTCCGGAATAAAAAGTATCCATGTCCTTCGCAGGGTCTCAAACTACTACTACTTACTTCTTACCAAATTTCATCTAAATCGGTTCAGTACATCCAGAGATCTCCTCCTACAACGTCACAAACTCACAAACTTTACCTGTTTATTATAGGAGTATAGATTAAACTATAAGCTCGCATTACAATGAGATTAGGTTTGATTAGCAACTCTTTACTTCCTTATGACAGCTCCTCTTTAAATAATCCGTGACGAGCCCATTTATTGTACGCTCAGCTCATTGTACATGTATAGAAGCATGATTGTGTGTGACAGTTTCTATCAGCGATACCGCGACGTGACGGCGCGTATAAAGGCATCGTCGTGTCCCTCTATACCGCCGATACAGCCGGCCGATAACAACATAAGGAAAAAGGCACAGGAGACTAACACGACAGAGAGTACTAACGAGGATGTTCACACCAGGTGCTGCGATTTTACATTGGTTTCGGATTTTTATAGAATACTAGCGTCCCTAGCTTGCTTCCCAATACAAACTTTCATCCCCACTTTCACCCCCTTAAGGGACGATTTCGGGGATAAAAAATATCCTATGTCCTTTCCAGGATCTCAAACTATCTTCTTACAAAACTTCATCTAAATCGGTTCAGTAGATCCAGAGATTATACCCTACAACGTCACAAACTCACAAACTTTACCTCTATAATATTAGTATAGAAGTATAAGATATTCATTGAGCATTTGAAGATATTGAGAACATTATGTTGTTTTGGAAATAGTTTTTTTTATATTGTTACGGATGTTTTGTTTTTAGTTTAACATCGATATTGGATGTATTTAATTTTATATACTATTAAGATTAGTGTATGCTATTTATGATGTCATTGAAAAAAAATAGCATGGGCTAGTATATTTATTTTCTCAGTTTCGACATCTCTGCTTATTTGTATATTTAAACAAATGTAACATTTTACAAAATTAAATTCGAAACCAATGTACATGCTGAAATTAACCCATCAATATCAACATCCGTATTAAAACTATCATAAAACACTGATTATATAATAATTTCCTATTTTTGTCACATCTTAAAGAATTACTTTAACTAATGCTCTTATATTGAATCAAATAATAGATTAGGTAAAGACGGAATTGTTCAAGTATGTTTGTTTTAATAATAGAATTAGTCCGACTGAGAGACGCGAGAGGGAAGCTAACACGTGGACCGCGCCACGACGACTCCACTACGACTCCTCCAATACGACTGCTACATCCATAGCGAGGGATACAATTGCACAAACTATAAGAAGGTAGGTGGTTATCGGACTGCTATTATAAATGCGAAAGCTTATATGTGTTTGTGTGTTGGTAACTCCTGAACGTTGAAACGGATGGACGGATTTGGATGTTTTATATGCAGAGTAGGGCCTGGAGTAACACATAGGCTACTGTAAGGTTTCAGAGAAGCGAGTCAATTATATGACAACCGGTTGACATTCTGACAGTTTTTGGGTTTGATAGTTTGAGCTTTGAGCTTTTACAAAGTAATTATTAAGATTTTGGACTGAGTGAGATAAAGATTTGCAATTCTTTATTAACACTTCTGGTATATGTATGTGCTATTTGTTCGTGAGATGAGTATTACGTCCACAGAGAACATATTTTTCTATAACTTCTAATAGTTGAGAGTTTTAAAAGTCTTAATTGAATAAATAGTATTACAATAATTGATCCAATAATAATGTTAGTTTAATATTGTCCATTGATATCGTCTTCCTTTTGATTTCCTTTGAAATTATAGAAGCAGAAAGACATGATTATATTAAAAAGCAACTAACGAAATATTTTTAATTAATTAAATCATTTAAAATTCCTAAGAAGTAAAAAAAATATGCTTATGTTGTAACGTTTTTTTTCATTAGTAGGAGAAGAAACTCTTATTATCTTAGTAATAGATTGATAATAAAGCGCAACCAGATGATGTTGGACCTGATGTTAAAGGCCTATATAGATAAATATATGAGGTGATTTTTTTAAATGAGGAATGGGAGCTCTTAAGTTTTTCTAATAATTTAAAAAAAACATAGATTACTTAGGTCTAGGGTTTGTGAAAGAAGGACTTTAGAGTTTTAAAAAGGCTATTATGGGGCTAAAATAATATCACAATTCTAATATGAATAGTCTATACTAGTATATGTAGGTTTTGAAAATATCACGAAATTTTAGATTGTAATTTTGTAGAGGAAATAGTAGAATTGGTATAATTAATTGTATTTTGTATCTGGTGATGGTGATCGCTTAACAATTAGACATTGCAAACTGCAAACAGAAATCAAAGTATATAACAGTCGAATTACTGAGAAATTTTAACTTGAATATTTTCAGTGTGCACAATCATAATTGAATTGAATGTATCAATCATTATTTGATGTGTTTTTGTATTATAAATGAAAAGTATTCACGTTAAATGTCTGTATCTGACGGCGGTAGTATTAGAAACAGTGAGTCAAGTGTGTTATAATTAATTAGTTGTTGTGTACACAACAGCTCCTCGGAGAGCGTAGAGTCCAACAGTAGCAATTCAACACCGAGCTCGACCACGCCCACCAAACTCTCGCCTGGGAACATATTCAAGAATTTCTTCAAGTACCGACGACCTTGTAGTTTGATTCGATACCTATTTGGACACGCGATTATTTACTATAGTTATCAACCCATTATTGGCATTATTTAGATATATTATTAAATTATGTGACAGTATTATATTTTACGTTAATTGAGGTTGAATCTGTTTCGTGTCATTCATCAACGACGAGTACAAATATTCTCGTGTTCAAAATGTTTTGAATTTTGATATGTAGCGCTTCGTCCAATGTGTTCGGACCATTTATTTGCGGATCGTAGATTATTTATTTTGGTGCATGTTTATGTCTATAAGCACATAGTTTTTATATTGTTTTTTTTTTAATATTTTTTGCATGTGTTTCAGTAGTTTGTAGTAGAATATATCAGTAACTGGAGTTATTGATATCCGCTTGTTTGTTCTAAGCGTTTAAACTTGTTCTGGGTTTTTAAGATGAAAGTTTGGTTTGTAGATCGTTCGTGCCTCCTGTACGAGATGAAGAGAGTGAAACGCAAAGGAAAGCTCACGCGAAACGTGTTCGTGAGACCCGAAGGTCCACACAAGGGGTGACTCTGGACGAAATAAAGTCTGCCGAGCAATTAGTCAAGAAGAAATCTGGCAATGGCGTCACAGAAGCACCACCTGTCACTACCAAGAAAGAAGATCCCCCCGTATCAACAAATACCGATAACGCAGTATGTAAATTTGATCTAATAATAATGTTTTTTTTTCAAACAATATTTATTGAAATTAAAATCAATTAATATTTAACGATTAAGTGGTAAATTTGATGAACGTAGATTTTTTTTGTAAATAATATGTAACAATGTACAGTTAAAGATATTTAGGATTTTAGAACGAGTTTTTGTACACTTTGGCACATCAGACTTAAGGCGTAGTAATGTTCTGTTTTACATATCTCAACTGAGTTTCATAATGCGTACTTAGCTTTTATTTAAAAAAAATATCTTAATATTTTAGTAAAACATTAGGTACGATAAGTGTATGATGTGTTTTAGTCTACTTGACACTTGTACATAGATTGTGTTTGGATGGAGTAAATTTCTCGAATATAACTACTCTCCAACGTTAGGCTTTCAGTCTATGGAGAAATAGCTAAGCCACGTGATAAAAACAAAACATTTTATTACTTTTAAATGTTTTTTTTTTTATTTGAACAATATTTAATTCAAAAAAATGACAATGAATAGTTAATAAAATAATGTAGAGTTAAGTACTTATGACTTACTTGCCTTTAGATTACAAAATGATTTTAATTATATTTTCGTAAAAACGTTTGAGGGTAGTTTAACTTATTTCAATATTATCATTGATTTAAAGACTCACTTGAATGTTTTAACTTGACATTATTATAGAATATTCACATATCAGTTATCCGATTAGAATTATAACATAGGTCAACACGAATTTACACTTTGATAAGAGAATATAAAATTTCGATAGATTTATCGATAAGTTCGACAAAAATATATATATGGCCTAAACAAGTTTGCTTTTATATGTAAGGGAACGGCTGATCAATATTTTAGAAAATCCATTTTTTTAATTTTTATTTATAAATAAAAACAAATATATTTAGATATAAATTTTTATCAACTTTCAATATCACATCAAATTACAAAAAAATACAAAATAGTAGAAAAGATTTAAAAATGAACCCTTTTACCTTTTCTTTCATGTTTATAAGTACTTTCTCTCACTAAGCACCCCAAATCCCATCATATTTTCGTTGTATTGGCTCCGATAAAGGTTCTCCTTGTTCTTCTGAATTGAATGAATTCGCGGTATTTTTAAAAACATCAGAAGTACCGAACTTTTTTTCTAAATATGATACTCAAGAAAAAGGATGTAGATCTATTATCACAACTACCACAAAAGCAAACTTTTAAGGGATATGGAGTTTCCCCTTTATTTTAAATAATAATGAATAAAAATATCATAAAATAAATTTTAGGACAAAGACAATTTTTCTTTTTTTGTAGAATTGTGTGCAATTTAGACGTGTCATACATACATTGTAGAATGTATTACTTTACTAATAAATCTAAATTCGTATCACATTTAACCCTAAAACATGACGAAAAATGATTGATGAATTCGAATATTTCAAGTCCCATTTATTCAATATGTCGTATTATAAGTAGTAGGTATACGGCTTGTAAAGGTATAAAATTCTTTCGCGTTCTGAGTATTAAGGTGAGCAAATGCAATGGATTTACGAACAAAACTAATAACTTTTGGTTCTTTGACCTACTAGAGATTGAAGTTTCATTGACGCTTCATAATAATAATGCCCTGACCAAGATATTATTGTACGTAGTTGATGCGCACAAACACAAGTGCACTCACTATTCCTGTCACGACCTGATTCTCATAATGCCCTGTCAATATGAGAATACTCCCGTGGGAAGATAATTCGACCAAGCGATCAAGCGCAGGACTGATGGCTTAACAAGGGTGGGGTAATTAATGGATGTTTTGAGGGTGAAACATCGAAAAATTCCCAACTCCGGGCAGTTACCAAGAATTTACTAGGCTCGACCCGAGACTAGAACCCAATACCTGCGGATCTACACCCGTACTTAACTACTAACTTCCAGGCTCCATTATGTACATATATATCAAACATCTATCTCTAGTAATCCAAACGACCGAATAAAAGCGATAAGTCCCTAACAGCATATTACCGACTTATTGTTTGGCGGCGTTGATAAACATTGTCACTATGCCAAAAGAATGTCAATTTTTGATCCAACATGTTGTACTAATGAACAAATTCCATTACGCTTTTAAATACGTATATCATGTGAACCTAGTTACTATTTTATTTGGATAATAGCGACTAACCCTCGCTTCGCTCGGGTTCGTTCCTGGGTACGTTTTTTTTGAGAGGAACCCTAATTCTTTTTCTAAAATAAAAGTCGCCTATGTAACTCCCTATAACATCAGCTATCTTCCAGTGAAAGTCCCGTCAAAATCAGTCCAGCCGTTTCAGAGATTATCCGGAACAAACAGACAAAAATTAAAAAAAAATCGTTTTTCTTATAAGTACCGTATATAATTTCATATGCATTTAGTAAAACGCTGTTATTTTGCCATTACAAACAGACATTTCAATTTGATTTATCTGTATAGATAGTTATTTAGTTAAATGTTTGACGGATGGACACCAGGCTCGGAGTGTCCCGGAGTGGGCGGAGACGCTAACGACCGCGTCCGCAATGATCACGGCCAGCGCAGAGAGACGGCCCTCGTGGCGGCTGCGACTCGACACTAATAAGGTCCGCGACGCAACACGACTATCAATTGTTTATCATATTATTTATATCAATATTATCACATAAAAATTACTCACCTATAAGTTTTTTTAGAAATTGTTGTTATTTGGTCTTCTGAGGATTATACCACGGTAATATTACATACAGTATTCTAACTTCATACAAACGGTCGGAAATCAAGTTTTACCTACGCGCCTCGCGTTCGGTATACACTCGGTAGACAACCGGGCGGGGCTGCCACATCGTATAATTGGATACGAAAATTGTATAAGGTGGTTATGTTATGTAACTTTTATAATTGGTACAAAAATAAACATTTTATTCCTCCCGTAATTTCGCATATGTCAAACGAAAAGTATCCAGAAATCGTATGTTTTAATAATAAAAATTACAGTATTTTTAATTAAACTTCTTATCCGAATGCGGATTATTTATACTATTAAATTTAACAATAAAGCTTTTCGTACGTCTCAGCCGAGGCACAAATATTTTTAAATCTCATATAAGGGTCACATACCACCCATAAAAATTAGAGGTTTTTTATTAAATCTAATCGTTTTTAAATAAAAAATATAATATTTGAAATCACAAAATTAAAAAGAAACTCAAGTAGGTAGATGAAATTAAAATACTGGCCGGCGGGCACTCGGACAGCCCTGTCGCGTGGGTACGTGCCGCTCGGTGTAGGTAATTATTTCAAGGACAGGGCCGAGTTGCTATATACTGTATGCATTACATTACCGTGTTTTTACCTTGCGAAGTGGTAGACTCATATTGTTCAAAAAATATAGGTATAGTGAAATACGCATTTTTTTATAAGTAATTTTTGATATATTTTGATTTAATGTTTTGATATATTTTGATTTAATGTCAGTTGTGTGTATGAGGAAGCTTTCATTGAGGAATATCGATATTTAAAATATATTTTGCGTTGAACGTAATAGTAAATGGTATAAGTGAATACAAAGGATATAAAAAGAGCAATTATATTAATATTTTAAATTCTGGCTAGCTTAGAAGATTGATTACAAGGAATTGATAAATTAGGGGGGTTCAATTACTAGTTAATTAATTATTAATGAGTAATTAAAAAAAACTTATTCAAGGGAAATGAATTAATGAGTATTAATGGCATGATCCTAGTATTTTATTAAGTTACGATGATTTCCAGCGATGAAGAACTTTTTACTTTCACGCACTTCACCCATCCAACGGTTGTTTTCGTCTATTAAATAATATATTAATATTATTTTATTATTATTCAATAAAATAAAATTAGCATAATCTATGAGAGTTTTACCACTATTCAGGTACGTAACAATAATACCTTCCTCTATAGTGGAAATGCTCTGATATGACATCGACGGTAGTTTCAATACCAGCTAATAAAACTAATCATAAAAAATAATGGATGCTATGATAAAAATTCTCTATACGAAAAAATAAACGCAATTGATAGTCGCGTATCCGTCACATGGGCTCTGAAAATTTCGGAACTCGCGCATGGTGTGGAAACATAGAAGAATACATAATATTTCAAAATTGATGTTGTATACGTTGCGGCGCTCGGTGTTGTATCGTCTTGGCTCAATACGTTACGAATGTTGTCCAGTAAAGTTTTTGCAAGTACATTAAACATTAAAAGAATTTTCTAGGTTTGTGATAAAATGTTTTATTCTAATGAATATCTTGTATCTCTTAAGATGTTCAATATTCAAAACGTATTAGGTCATCTTTATGCTAAGTCCACTTACATTGTATATTTTATTATTTGTTTATTTATGTATTTTTATCACTGTCCGAAAAACCAGCATGTCACAAACTCATGACTCTCGTTGTAAAATTAGATTGATTGATACATGTTCAAATACAGCAAAACTGGTTTAAACAGCTACATATAAGGTATATATATGCAAAGAATTATCTTGTTACATGTGTATGTCAATTTTCTCAAAACCAGTTTTGTATTGATGTTGTGTTAAATATACATATTTTCTAAATGTGTATGGTTACTAATCGCATAGTAATGTGTGTTATGCTTTTTGTTATGATCTCATCTTGTCGTCTGCTCGTTTTATTTGACATATATAACTTACAAGCATGCTTATAAAGTGTGTCCATGTGTGTCTGTGTGTAAATTTAAATTTTGCCAAAATTTGAACATTTATATACGAATATGTACATATATCGAAAATGTATATATATATATATATATATATATATATATATATATACAGTCGACTCTCGACAATTTGAAACTCAAGGGACCAGAGAAATATTTCAAATTACCAAGAGTTTAAATAACCAAGATGGGGATAGGAAAAAAATAAATAAAAAGAATTTGATCGAAATTCGTGATTTATAATTTTAAACAATTATTGTATAATTATTTACAAATGTTCATTTTGATACACTATTTACTAGTAGTTTCTGTTAAGTGAGCGACTTCGGTATATCATTGTGCAATGGATTTTCGACAGTGGTTAGAGCTGAGAAGAAATCGTCAGTTATGTCGGTTCTGAAGGCGTAGAAGCGTAAGGTAGTAAAAGATCTCGATGTCAAATTATTAGTCGATGGTAAAATGCCAAACTATTTAGCCCTATTTAGTCCTTCCTCCAGAGCTTGAATCACACCCATTTTTTTCAGTTATGTAAGAAAACTTGTTCTTTCTTGAATTCATTTGGATACTTAAAAATTAATAACACAAATCGAACATTAACAGAACCCACTTTGACGTTTGAAAAAAGGTCAGCAAACTCATATATTTCATTCACCACAATCACGAATCGACAGGTGCATGAAAAACGTTTCAAAGTATAGAGTGTAGAGAAGCCCGGAGTTCAAATTATTGAATGTTAGCGGCCAACATACTATTCCTTCAACTTCAAATTACCGAGGGGAACCAGTTAATATTGATTTTATTCAATTTATAGAGTGGTTTTCAAGGGCAAAAAGTTCAAATTATCGAGAGATTCAAAATAACGAGTGTCAAATTATCGAGAATCGACTGTATATAGCCTGGCCATAAATACTGTTACAATTAAAAATAAACAAAATATTACATTTAAATTTGGAATCTGTTTGTGTGATTGTTCATTGTGTTTTCTTATTTTCGCGCCAATACATTGTAAAATATTTCGTGATATTAAAATGGAGTGGGGTGGTAAAGAGAACCGAAACGCTGTGATTGCATTACACAAAGTAGGTATGGAGCCAAATACAATTTTTAAAAATCTCCATACGCTCGATATCAATCAAATGTTTGTGTAGCGGGCTATTGATAGGTACAATGAAACCTTCTCTGTTTGTGACAGAAAAAGATCTGGCCTTCCACTTAGTGTTCGTACGAAAAAGGCGATCAAAGCAGTAAGGGAAAGAATTCGAAGAAATCCTGTCCGAAAGCAAAAGATTTTATCTCGGGACATGAAGATAGCACCTAGACATGTCGCGGATTTTAAAAGATGACTTAGGATTTGCAGCCTATAAGAGACGCACTGGTCATATCTTAACCGATAATTTAAAAAAGAATAGGGTGGTAAAATCAAAACAACTACTTAAGCGTACCGCAAAGGAAAGTCACAGTAAAAATTTTGTTTACGGATGAGAATTTTTTTACAATTGAGCAATATTTTAAGAAACAAAAATACCTTAATAGAAACCTCAAAAAATACTCAAAGCTCTAAGGAAGCTTCCCAATTAGTCAACAGAGTACAACGTGGGCATTATCCGACTTCAGTGATGGTTTGGTGGGGTGTTAGCTATGAAGGAGTGACTGAGCCATATTGTTGTGAAAAAGTTATCAAAACATCGGCACAAGTGTATCAAGATACCATTCTTGAGAAGGTACTTAAGCCCCTTAAAAACGTCATCTTAAATAACCAAGAATGGTCCTTTCAGCAATACTGGGCGCCGGGTCATAAAGCACGATCCACGCAATCTTGGTTAGAAACCCACGTTCCTGATTCATCAGAGCTGAGAAGCCGTCATCTAGCTCTGATATTAATCCGCTGGATTATGATTTATGGTCAGTTTTAGAAAGTATGGCTCTAAATGCCATGATAATTTGGAGTCCCTAAAACAATCCATAGGATTGGCAGTGAAGAATTTTCCCATGGAAAGAGTGCGTGCTTCTATTGATTACTGGCCTCAACGTTTAAAGGACTGTATATCAGCCAATGGAGACCACTTCGAATAAGCATTTTATATTTTTAATGGCTTTATATTAATGTATTAAACTAACATACTGTAATAGTAATATATGTTACGTGCAATAGAAAAAATGTTTTTTTCTTTGTAACAATATTTATGGCAAGACTATGTATATCGGATAAAAATTACTAGAAGAAAGTACTTTAGTTCAGAATATAAATGCTATAACTAAAAAAATATATAAAACAGTACTAAACAATTGATTTAAATATAACAGTTCGAGTTAGAGGACGCATGGCGGTCTTCGCCACGCACGAGCGCGACCGAAACAACGGTCACGCTGCCGTTGCGGCGCGTCTCACAGCACAACGCGACCACAGCAAACACTACCACCACCACCACCACCACCACAACCACAACCAATACAACTAGTACGTTGACGAAAGAGGACACACGCGCTGGTAAGTTAAATACAATAATTACTGAATAAAAATCAATTGAGTAGAAAGATTGTCAAAAAATACAACGATTTTCGTGCTATAGTGCCATTTCGTAGCAAGTTATAGTTGACTCTGTCAACCCTAAAGCCGTGTCCCGATTGTCATATAAAATGAAGTATGATAGTCGGGAACGCCCCGCTTGAATCTCATCTTGACCCGCAAGACGCGATTGTCCTCCCTAGACACCTTTGCTAAACTGTATAGATTAGTAGAGTGTGCTAGTATTGTCTATTTTCCAATATTGATTAATTGTATCGAACTTGTATTATACATACCAAAGTAATGTTTATTATTTTTTCACGAGTGAACTTCAGAATGGAGATAGTTTATCGACGTATCTACCACGAGTGGGCGCGGTCGCGGGCAGTGGTAGCCCATTGGTAACGCGCTCGATTGGGAAACTGAGTGAAGCGGGTTCAAATCCCGGGTCTCGCACCTCTGATATTTTCATGTGCGAATCATTTCCAACATGCCACTTGTCTTGGTCTTTTAATTGCTGAGAGAAACTAGCAAGTTTTCAAAAGACATCTGAAGTCCGCCGCCAACCCGCACTTGGCCAGCGTGGTGGATCTGGCCTGATCCCCTCGTACTGAAGGGAGGCTAGTGCCTAGCAGTGCGAAATAGCGCGTGAAGAGCTTAGGATGAAAATTAATCTTGACATATATTCAGGAATGTGTTTAAACTTGAAAAGTTTCGTTCCTACTCTGAAATATTAATTTGTAAACATATAGCACTTATGTTACGGATTTGACAGTCCAAGCGGATTTAATATGGAAGGTATAGCCGACTTAAAAATCTTGAAGAATTTATGAAGTCATTTCTTTTCGTCTTCAATTAAAAATTTATTAATGCAGGTGAAGAAGAAAAAGAGCGTGAAAGCAGTTCGGAAAGCAAGTCGTCCTCGTCGCCCGCGAGTACGCAGGCCGCGCTCAACGTCATACAGCGCAGGCGACGACCCAAGCGGAGATCGACAGGCGTCGGACATGTTGATATGGACGTAAGTGTTTTAAGTTTAAAATAACACTATTATATATGTAATACTAGCTAGGTACGTTTTAAATAGATATAAATAGTTATTAGCCAGCGTTAGCCATATAATTTTTTTTTTCGTTAATTTTTCTGATGTTTTTATACTTATTATCTATCCTATTCCGGACTAATATAAGAGAAATCCAAAAAATCGAATATCATAAAAATTGGACCAGCCGTTCTTTAGTTATAAATGGTGTAAGAACACGTTTTTGTTTTATATATACGGATTTACTCGTTGGTTTAGTTATAGATATCATCTAGTTAGGTTAAAGGGTTGGGTCCTCATAATTATTCCTTAGGTTTTATTGGCAACATTTCTGTTCTCTCTATCGCTCCACGGCAACAGAAACAAATGTCGTAAATTATGGTTACGTCGGATAACTGGGCTTCCCTTTTTTGACGGCCGTTATTGACGTCATATCAACCTTGTAGAGTAGAATCAAATAAAAATATACTTTCTTCATATAAACTTTAAAATCAAGTTTTTGTAAATTGATTTGCTAAAAAGCTTTTGTAAATCGCTAATTTAATTTAAAATTGTCCAACCAGATTCAAGATCGGTCTTTACATATTTGTTTTAAACTATGTTAATGTTTATATTCTAAAAAGTAATTTAGATCGTGCTGATATCTTAGAGAAATAGGTTAAGATTTGACTTCCAATTCATACGGAAAACTGAAATCTTAAATTTAGAACCGGTGTTCCAGTGACAAGACAGTGAGCAGGGTTTTCGCTATTTTGGAAAACACATAGGGCATTACAACGATACCAACAGACTGATGTAAAACATTTACCAACAAAGAGACAGATAAAAGACAATGTTCACAAGTAAGATTTAAGCTAATAAATACTGCACAGTCTGACCTTTAAAACACTAATACAGTGTGATATAATAAGATCGGAAATTCGGGATATCGAGGATGTCAAAGCACTTAATAGGGATTCGAAATTTCTTATCAAGTTCAGTATATCTTCTGTTATTTTCTGACAAAGTCCAAAAAACATAACGCACCATATGAAGAAATGACACGATCTCTTTAATGCTGGACATGTTGTCAGGATTCCCTCCAGCTCAAAAGAATTGAAATTCTATTTTATTTTGTCGTATATATTATGATTAATGCCCTTGTAAGGAACTGTCACAACGACGTCAAATTCTCTTGGAGACAAAATAGCAATTAGTCAGCTGTGTGGGTTTGCGTCTCCGTAGTTGGTATATTTAGATTACTTATGACGACGTACAGAAAATTTTAATATAATTTATTAGGATTTCATATTCTATACATATATTTACTTAATAGTTAGACATTAGAATGTCTTATAAAACGAACGATTTTATATGAGAAGCTGTGTTAGTAATTATCGCAGCAAAATCAATGTTAACTTAGATGAAACGGGAGTAAAATTAAATAATCCTATAACAAAAGTGGCCATTTCTTTTTATTGTAATCTTTTATATTCATCTATGCCATTACCAGTAGTGTTATAAATGTGAAAGTATTTATTTTGAGCGAATGTGTGTTTATTAATTCTTTTACTGTGTAAGGGCTTAATAATAGATTTAAAAATTAAAGTAGAATTTCATCGTGTAATAATAACACTTTATCGACAAACAACGTAAATGAAGCCACGGGAAAAACACAGGTAACATAATAAATTTTGAGAGTCTACATATGATGAGTTTTTGTTTTAGGACATTGTTAACGACCGCGGAGGAGGCGGTGAAGGCGATGGCGATACGGAAAATGTACCGGTAAGTTATTTTTGTCATTCTGCCTTCAACGTGCTTTGATATGTGATATTAAAGTTCTTGCAGATTAATGAATTTACGATATTGGAGAGTTACATTTTGTACATTTTCAATCGTCGTTTTTGTTTGAGTATATCATATACATCATATAAACGTTCCGGTTTTCTGTAAAATCTCCAGATCGGGAAACATTTGAAAAAAAGTTATGTACAGGCAATATGTTTAATTGTTTGTAATTATTTCCTATATGTAGTTATTTGCAGTAGCAAAGATACGAACCTAAAAGATTTTTTCCGTAAATTATTATTTTACTATACTTTTAACTTTATAAAAGTAATAAAAAAGTATAATAGACAATTGTTTGAAGGTATTCAATTCTTATCTGCTCTTACCCATACAATTTATTTATCTATATGAACTCTTTTATTTTAGACATTTATTATGTCATTAATAAAGATAATTGTTTCTAAATTAAAAGTACTTAATTCCAAGTAGTATTGGAGATAAATCACTGCAGTTATAAATTAGCCACTTGAAATGAGTAATCGATTTTAATATTGTTCTCTGCCAAGTTTTTTAATGTGATGTGTTGTCAAAATAGAATACCCTCGTAAATTTGAAGACTCCATTTGTCCGTCACTTCATGTTTTGTGAATCAAAACGTAAAAAGAACTTGTTGTTGTATTTTATGTACGAGTATGTATGTTTACTTGTCCGAATAAAAACAAGATGTGAAACGTTGAACCCGTTAATGGGATGAATGTGATGCATTGAATTTAAATTCGAATTATTTAAAATTACTTTCTTCTCACATATTTTATAAAGTTTATGGAAATGAACCCAAATAAATATTTATTCCATATGAAATAAACGAAAAAATCATTGGGGTATCTATTTATTTTAGGGGTTGAAATATATATATTTGCGAGGCAGGCCCGCGGGGTACGGGCCGTCCGCAGGGGTGTTGCAGTGAATGCGCAAGCGATCCTGCACACCCCATTGCACTGCGGCGACGGGTTCCGCTGTGGGTTTTAGTGAGTAGGAGTCTCACAGTACCCTGCCCATTGACGGCCGGCAGGGTCCCCATGATGGGTTTCCCCAGCGTCAACAAAAAAAAAAAAAAAAAAAAAAAAAAAAGGGGTTGAAATATATTCTTCCTTAATAGCCTTCACACCATATTTCATTGCCAATATCGTTGAAGTATTAACAGGCTGTTAAAACTTCAACTTTTTAGTCTGGTCAGGACCATAATGAATCGATTAAAACTTAAGCGCGTAGAGAATAATAACGAATTGGAGATTTCAACAATATTTTAATATGTTTTTGTAACAAAATATGATGATCGGGTTTTTTTTAAAAAACATATGGAACATGATCTATGTATCTACACAGAATCAGCTTTTTTTCTTTAATATTGCTTTCAATTTACTCCTTACATCATAATTTCCTGGTAAATTTTTATTTTTTTAGAACTTTACCATGAGTTTAATGAGAATATTTGACCATGAGTTATAACATTATCAACCAAAATCAAAATGGTACGTAGGCGATTTAGCCACATGTCAGTGTATGCTGGACTGACGCAAGCAAACAAAAGAGAGCGATTATTTTAGGACTTTACTCTGGCTTCGCGAAAGGTGATATTAGACATATTCTTATTTAGATATACACAACCAAATACTATATATAGGTTTTTTAGCAGTTCTGTGTAACATGTACGGATTTCAGGTTAATTTGGCTACGGAACCCTAATAAACTACTCTAAAATACTCAGTTGTGAACGCAGAGCCCGAACCATGAGTTTGAAACGTGCGGTTTCTCGATAACCAATCACAGCACGAGGACCTTGGGCACCCATCAGCTGCTGGCATACCTCGATAAGCTATCTTTCTTACACCTAAAAAGACTTTTTTGTAGTAATAATTTGTAAACTTTATTTACGTCTGGGAAGGGTTTAAAACCGCTAAATTCGTCTGGCGATTTGCAAATATTATTGAAAATTAGTCAATAAATACGTGATTAAAATTTCAGATTGCCAAAAGTATGTTTTTTGGAATAAAAAAAATGAGTCTATGGAGAGGTCTGGCAATACTTTATAACCGACAAAAACGTCTGGGGTTCTTTTTTTTAATTATATGAAAGCTAAATTAAAGGATTAAACAAAAATCAAGTTGCAAAAAATGTTTTTTTTGGATATTTTTTTTGCAAATGTTGTATACTGCGCAGTAGCGAAATAACCGCTAAAGCTATACCAGACTCGCGGGACTGGACTCGCCAATTCACGAAATTATATTTTTTCGCAATTACAACTTGCCAAAAGGACCTTCCCAAAATTCGTCGCGAGCTCTCGGAATATACAGCCCGCTCAAATTGGGGTAAACGAACAGATGGTAAAAGCTCGGGAACATTCCCAACTCTATAGTTTCTGAACATAAAATACCTTAAAATATTTATTATATGTTATACATAATAATAATAGTTTACAGTCATTATAATATTTTATACTATATATTAAATAAATATTGCAAGTGGCAATTGAAAACAAGAGAGGGCTACACGTGGTACACGTGGTCTTTAATTTCTATAAATTTTGACACTACTTAAATAGCACTTTCCTCTTCCTTGTGTCTATGTATAGTTGCTAGATCATATTTATTTATATCTATTTAATGTTTGATTTTCAACAGTGCCTTGGAATAAATGCACGTGATAGTCATAACAAATTAATTTATATGGAGGAGTATATGAAATGAATATGATGTGTTAATTGAATGCATTAGTATTACTGGTAAACTAGCGAATTAGAGAATTTATGATATTACAACACCCAAACTATACTTTATTAAAGCTTAATAAATTTCTTATGAATGTATATGGATGATGTTTTGGTATAAGTATCGTGATATTGTGTGTACGTTATGACTTATGACTAAGATTCTCAAGTGGTGTTCGGATTCGACGTAAAAACTTATTTATATCGAACATTCAGCTTGAGTTTCATTTACAATATTCCTTGGCCGCTATGTGAAAACCGCAACCTCTAAACTTTATTATTAACTTAGAAATCTCGCTGCATTTACAAATAGGACATGAAGTATTGTCATTTATTTCTTTTATTCATGATATTCATTGCCTTAATAAATGTACTCGACGGACTTGAGGAATGTTGTGTAATGTGTAGGACCTTTCAAGGGAGAAGATACAGATGTATGTATATAAAAAGGTAGCCATACTTAATATTATAAACGTGAAAATGTTTGTTTGGCTTGCTTGTCCTTCTTTCACGTCGAAACAGAGTGAACGATTGACGTGATTTTTTATGTGCAAATAGTTGGAGCGCTGGAGAGTAACATATGCTACTTTTTATTCTGGGAAAATATCTCATTTGAACGGAAAAACACACGTTAGAATACAACCCAAAACAACTCATTATACCTTTGTATATAATACCCATGTATATATATATACTAATATATAGCCTATCAATTCCGTACTAACCATTAAAACATACCTGGGGGCGAACCCGAGCGAAGCGAGAGTGAGCCGCTTGTATATAATATGTAGATAGATCAGTTCTATGAACATTTAGAGATGCGTGTGTATATCATGTTTAAATACATGTTATAGAACTAAATATGAATATCTACAATACCTACAATAAAATTATGAATTTAGGACAGAGATTCCTGACCTAAATTTATCCGATCAGAGAGTAGTGAGTACCCTTAGGAGATATATGTTATGCTATTGCCGATTTTTCCGTTGGCCTCTTTAAGACCTACAATTTCATAGTGCATTGCCAAACAGACAAAAAATTCAATAACTCTTGTTTTGGGGGTGTATATTTAATACACAATAAGTAATTGTCATTGTTTTTAAAAAAATATTTCATGTATAGATTTCGCTTTGTTACTATTTTATTATATGTATTGGTGTTAAAGTCACGATCACGGTCGTTGTTACATTTAATATTCATTGTTGGTATTTATTATATATTTCAAAGACTAATTAGCTTCTGATATTAATTGCATAAAATAGCAAAAGCTTAACATATTGTATTCATTTATTAATAAATATAATTGATGTGTCTGGTACCTTTAATTTTAGCGTTTAAATAATGAATGTATCGTTTGAAGTTAATGATATTAGCTATAAAGACCAGGCGTGATTTTGTATTTTACGTAATACAATCAAAAACAAACTTTATCGGAATGTTTGATGACGATGTATACTACAGAAGATATTTATAAAAAACTTATTTTTTAGAGCATCGTCTAACCTTTCGAATCGTTCGGATTATGGTTCGAATTAGCATGATGATGAATTTCTTTAACGTATAAGATGAGATTCTAAGTATTTAAGAAAACAACGAAAAGTATTTATTTCTCCTAAATTTTTAAGAACAATAGAGGATTTACTAGATATTTAATCTTTACTTATCCACAGTACATAAAATCTCGTTGATTTGTTTCTTCCTTTAACGTGTACATAAGTTAAACAAAGAAGCACTAACTTTTCCCAATTTTAATACAATTATGACATTTTAACAATAAATAAAATTAAACATTTGTTGTAAGCTAAAATAAATGTCTAAGAATAAGAGAAACTAATTTGGTTTTATAAATAAAACTAATTCGTTTTATTATTGTTCCACGTGTTCTTCTCTTTAAATTAATTTTCATCAGATAATCTAGAGATACGTTTTGTGCGCACATTGAATATACTAGCTAAAGCGGAAATTAATAAATTACCCTGTTACAGTTTTTTGTGATAGTGTGACGGGAGCTATTTTCATGTCGCATCTCGTAGAAATTAATGTTTTGAGTAAAATTTTACTTAGATGTTATATTTTTATTGAATCTAATTTTTGAACGTACTATTTTTATTACTTAGTTAACGTAATTATTAAATATTGTTATGATTTTTTTTAATCTCCAAACCTAGTTATCATGCGCATGGCGATGTATTTTGTAACTTTTATTTTTATTTGACCGCTTATTCGGTGTTCTACCAAGATTATACACAAAATAAAACTCTTTTGTAAGAAGTTTCGCAACTATTTCTGTGAATTTCGAATGCGTCGTCGAAAATTCCAGTCACCTATACTAGTGCTAAGTTAATATTTGGGTCAGCGGAATTCTGAACCAGAGCTGCGTAAACTTGAAAATAGATTTTATTTATAGTGGCCTAAACAAAAGGAAAACGCTTTTTAATCTTTACTTCGTTTTCATAATGACTGAATAAATAGTTAATACGCTCTGTCTGGCCCTCGATTCAATTTAGACTTTCTTACTATTATTTCCATTTATGTAGACTTTTGATGATATTTATGACAATTTATTTATGTTTGGGATAATAAACGATGTTGGTCTGTTCTAGGCGCGGTCGCTTATTTTTAGCGCATGCGTCCCTACATGAGCGGGGCGGGCGCACGCATTAACGGTGTTCGACCTTCAAACCTCATGCTAGTATCGAAGGAACCGCCGATGATCGACAGCCAGTTGTCGTAAATAACAGCTGTGTGTAATATTTATTTGTAGTCTCGTACTTATAAGACTGACCGTTTTCTCTTTCTTACGTTGACGACAAATGTTTCGTTATATTTACAGGTGATGATTTTCTCATGTGTTCGCTTGAATATATCCCTTTCGTCTGGTCGTTTCAGCACTACATTGGCGTCTCACTCACACTATCTACGAAACAGAGATTCGTGTGGGAGTTAACAATATCTTCACTCTATGTAGATTTATAAGAGTTAAGAAACGCTCAGTGTGTTGTCAAATCGCGCGACGATCGCTCGTCTGTTCATATTTATGCGTGCGGTTGACATGTGAACGAGAATGAGTCGAAAACAAGATAGATATACGTCGCGACCGCGCAGCCTTACCTCTCACTATGGCTCATCCCCCAGCATGTTGGGTTCGATGATCGGCGGACAATACAATCCGTATTCAAACAGTTACTCAAACTCATACGGCTCGAGTTCATATAGAAATTACAATCCCTACACAGTCGGATTAGGTAGACCGTCGTCGAATTTGAGTATATACGGCGGAACGAGTTCGGGTTACGGTGGTGTATATTTAAGCGGTGCTACTTTAGGTTCGTTGAATTTGATGACACCTGTATTAAAAAAATTGGACAAGAAATTGTTAGCTAGTCAAAAGAACTTTAAACCAAAACCTGTCCCGTTGCCGGTGAAGGTGCCAGTTGAGACGCCACCCGAGGCGGAGGTAGTAGCGCCAGCACCAGTAAGACCAGAGAGAAAATCACGTTCAGGGAGCAGGAGCAGTAATCTCAACAAAGAACGATCGCGGTCACTTACTGATCTAGATTCTATGACAGCGCTCAATTCGCGGACTTTAAGTCTTAATTCAGTATCCTCAGATGGCTATTGTGTATGTTATTTCTTATAACATTTTTATATACATCACATTTTTATATACCTTTTCAACATGTGTTGAATCGATCGTAATTGAGAGACATCTAACACCTCAGTCTCTCCCGTGACCATGATTGCTGTAAAGCATTCGAAACGTCGGGAACCAAAAATCAAAATAAATTCGCGAAAAAATCCGAAAAGATAGTTTTATGTAAACAAAAGTAATATTTTAATATGTTATTTATTTATATCCATTTCTTATTAGTTTTTCATATTGAAATACGGAAAAAAGTTATTATTGGTATGAACGATACAAGATTTTCATTGCATTTATATATTAATGCATAAGCTTTGTTTGTTGGTCTATCCTTCTCGCACATGACAATTTTACAATGGATCGGCATGATTTTTTCTATAGACGTAGTTAATGAGTTCTAATCTCCCTTAATCTCTAATATGTTTTATTTATCCCGATATTCTCGAATTTGTCAGATATCTGGACAAAAATAAATAAAGCTGTTTGATGACGATTAAATTTGTTTTTTTTTTTAATACGACTGTTACATTTAGATAATCATCCGTAATTTCAGTCTGGCAGTGAACGTACCGAAGACGGTGAAGAACGTGATTACAAAGCGCTGTACGAAGCGTCGCAGGGTGAAGTTCGACGCTTGCGTGCTTTACTCTCCACGTCCGAGCAACAGTTGCGCGACGCTCGCGCCACCATCACCAGGCTCTCGCAAGTGGTATGCATCCATTATAACTAATGTATTGTTCTTGGAATGGATAAGTTTCTTTTGCTTTGTGATATTTTATTTTATATTGGATCTTCCTAACAATGGAGTTTTTGATTTCAATTTTGTTACCTTTTATGCGAAAGTGCTTATGTATTTCTGGCCTACGAACTATCAATTTTTTTTTCTTCAATTTATTAGTAATGGACTAAGATATTTTCATATTTTAAATGACATTTTTAGTCTTATATTTATTTCATAAAAATATTAGACAATATATATTCTTTATTGCATATTAACAGAGTAACAGATAATACAGAGAACAATGTGGACAATTAGTTATTTCAAAAAATGGAAAATAAAAGGGGTTGTTCTAAATAAGTAACATCGCTCAGATCCTGACTGACGGACTTTCATTATAATGCACGTGATACGATAATAGTTGTTCTAGTCTACAAGCTTGGCGCGTAGTATAGGGCCGGGACACTTGCAACTCGCGTTTCCATACATACATCTAACTATTTAAAAGAGCTTGACTAATCCTCCGCCCACTATTAACTACTAATTATGTTCACAGATGCCACTTGACAGATTGGCTCGAGCTTAGGTTATCTGAAATTGTTTATCTGCTCATCGCACTTGTTTTGATGCGAAATTTGAAGGATGTGAAGTAAATAGTTGCGACACAGTTTATACTAATGTAGCTACTTACTACTTACGGTCTAACTATTTTTAATATGTATGTTATTATATTCAATAAAAATCTTTAAATCTTTAAAATATTTACCGGTTCGGAGAGTGTAACGACTTATGCAGCAGCGATTTTTGTTATTATATTAAAATTGTGGGCGAAATGTGAGAGAAACGGCAATGCGATTAATTTTACTGACCGGTGCAATTCTGTCTTTTAAATTATCGTGTCAGAATTTCATACTTGTATAATATCTTTTCGCAGAATCAGAATTCACTATCCGAGATCGAGAAGCGAGAAAAGAGGGCGATGGAAAGAAAACTATCAGAAATGGAAGAAGAGTTAAAGGTGAGAGGTCCTTAGCTGTTAAGGCACTAGAATACACACATACACTATACAAATCAACACAAGAAATCTCGTGATCAAAAATTTGGTTACCCATACGTTTTGACAGCTTCTAGTTTGTTAAATTAAAGGCGGACTTCAAGATGGCGCTCGTGTCGCCGCCTCAATGATATGATGAGTTGTAATGTTCGTGTTCGTTTTGTAGCAATTGCAAAAACTAAAAGCCGAGAACGAAAGGTTGAGGGCTGAGAACCGTGCGCTAACGCGGGTCGTCAGCAAACTGACCAACTCTGCCGCCAAATAGGTAACTGTGTTCACTTGAGCGTTCGTCCGGTGGCGACACTTTGCGGCCTGGTCGATGGACCACCCCAGAGAACTTTACATTGGTTCCATTTGAATATCCATATCTGAAGAGATTATTGGAATTCAAAACATTGAATTTCAGATATTTTAAGCCAAATATATTATATTGTGAACTAATTAAGTTACATGTAAGATAACATGAATGAGATGAACAAATAAAAATGATAAAAATAATTAATTCATAGAATTTGTATATCGTACTGATAAAATAATGTTTTTATGTTACGACTTCGCCGCTCAGTGTCCCACACACAAAGGTCCACGACACCATCGTAATATATTAACAGTTTGTTATGGCGAGCATGTTTGATACGTGTCTAACATGGTGCGACTACTCTCCACAGCGCTTTGTTTGACGTAGTCGGACCAGTGTATTGTTTTGTACCAGATAACGTTGTTATAACACATCAGTAAGACCCAATCATCTATTTGACTACAGTTAGTTCTGACCTCCCGAATATACATATATTCCTTCATAAACAGTCAACGGTTTTTGTAATATATATATATATTATTAATATATTAATGCAATATATTCTGCGCAATTAATGTTAGTAAAATTTATACAATGAGAAAGAACTGCCATGAAAAAATATGTACAATGAGTTGGTCCTCGTGAGATGCGAAATGAGTCTTAAATAATTGGTTATAATATTTGGTTTATAATATGTTATCTGGAATATTTGTGTACGTACAGTGTTGTTTAGCGTGCTGCATGACCCTCCCATTTAGAACACACATATAACACTTCACACTATCATGCGAGAGGTGATCCTGGGGAGTTTCTTAAGTAGTGTGTGGCCTTTTTACCGACTCTTATTATAAATGTGTTTGTTGGGATGTATGAAAAACTCTGATCTATTATATCAAACTACTTTATAATTACTTGGACAAGTCGGTTACATAATGTTCGATATAGCATGATCCAATGAATAGTAAACAATAACAGCAAAAAGACCTCAAAAAAATATTGATAGATCAGATACATTTTTACATGCTAAATTGCGCTTACATTTTTTATACAGTCAAAATAATTTCGTTACGTGCTTAAAATTATTAAACAATTTTAAAGCTTCCTTCCTTAATAATAGCGTCGGAAGTTTGGCATTATGTGCGAGTTGCTTTGGTGAAAAGAAAAATTTCGCATTGACGCCACTCACCCCATCTCACCCCGTAAATAATGGCTCTTTCATTATTCTGTGAAAATTACTACCTTAAATCTCAGTATGGTCACCATAAGCTTCCTGGCGAGAGTGACGCTTAATTCTTTTGGTTATATAATGAAGAAGACTCTTTAAAAAAATAACTGTAGTTTTGCTTTGGATTTGTACTGTTGATTAAAAGATTTTAAATATAAGCCAATAAAGTATTGTACTCGCATCATTTTTGAAAATTGAGTATAGTAACGAAAAGATACATACTAAATGCTGCAATACGAAGAATTGTATGGACGCTCTTTGCTATAATATCTCCTGTGGATTTTTTGTCTATTCAAGCAATTTGTGCAGAACAAAAAGTTAGAAGAAAAGCCAACATCCTCCAGAGCTCCACTTTTTGTTTCAAGTTTTCTTTTTGGCTCTTCTCATTTTCTTTACTTTGAATTCTTTTGTTTAAGTGAGCATGCCTCAGAAACGACGATCTGTTCATTTTTCATCACATTAATATTTCATGTTTTATTTATCTTTATAGTGCGTGTACAATTAAAAATAAAATCGGAAGTAATTGTTATTAAACACTTATTATCTTTATTTTTGGATCACCCCTCGTATTCATTATAAATATAAGAAACATCAAATTAAGAACATCTACTCGTTTTATAAGTTTTCGTCGCAGGAAGTACAGAATAAAGATATTCTTCTAATCATTCCAAAAAATACAATAATTTCAGCAATAGCATGTAGTGGATAAAATACATAAGTGTTACAGTTACAGTATTGTGCAGCACGCGGGGCTTCTTATAAAATAAAAGTTTCACTCTAACACCACAAGGACACACATAAGTAATTAAATTGTAAATAGTCCACCCTCTTTTCTCCCTTATTATTCGGCCATGTGCATAAGTTGATGGTAGATATGACTTGTAAAATTTTATTATACCTTTGATATTTTGTAGACAAGTATTTTGAAAATGCATTATGCAAAAGTGGAATTAAGTATTATTAACAGTACTCGTCATAATTAGATTTCATTGATTATAATAATTTAAACAAAAACAATTGTATATAATCTCTTTTGTTAATAAAATAAGTAAGTCATCAAGTTCACAGTTTATTTTTTCAAAAATGTTTTGTTTACTTTGATCTAATACATGTTGATATAATGGAGCTAGTTCACTTTGCACTATCGTTAACATATGTCATAGAACAGAAGCATTTTCAATTGACTGTGTCTACTAAAAATGTATGACGGTATATTTGTGTTGTAACCTCGGTAAACACTTTCAGTTCCAGCAAGCACTGCAAATAGAAAACCAGCGGTTGAAAGATGAGAACGGAGCACTGATTAGAGTGATCAGCAAACTGTCTAAGTGAGAGTTGGACGCGCGCGTTTCGCCGCAGCACTAGCAATAGCACTCACATATACACTCGTTTCCTAAACTATATATAATAGATTGTATATAACCTTTGGCGAACCTTGATCCTGGACATTAATTTAATGTATAAGTCGCTAAGAACACTGTCTTGATGTTTATAGTTCGACGCATAGATACCATAATATTATTTACGACTGTTCCTTATTTTAGGGAGGTTAACACTGTTTGTAATCACAAATTGGCTGTTACCAAATATAGGAGATGGAATTCTCATAATTCTTCTCATGATATGAAGAAAAACGACGGGCGTTTTAATTTCAATGTTTATTATACTAACAGGATAATACTGTGATACTGTAAATGGGTTTTAAATTTACAAACTCATGTTCCAACTTAACAGATCTTATTGTTTTAGTGGTATTGGTTACTACTCGTTATGTTAGTAAGGGATAGAATTGCAGAGATCTATGGACCAATTGCCATCATAGATATTACCATATCACTTTCTGCCCAAGGTATATATATATAGAGTTGTAATCTTTCTTCTGAAACAAAATACTAATAAAGATGTCGGTATATTTTCAAAATCAAATCTCCTTGCGATTAGAGAAAAAGCAAATTGATTGACATGTTATTATTATTTTATATCTCTACTAGATATTTCTAATTTTTAGCATCGGATGATGATTTAAAGTTTTATGTTTTGATATCAATTTAAACAAGATGACAGTCTTAATGATAAAATGTAAACGTTATAACGTCGCTATAAATTATAAATAGATGTTTGTTCTGTGAAATTAATTGTAATACTATTTCTACCACTTTTGTATGTAATTTGCCAAAAACGGTCTTGTCAGCTTTGTGTTTGTATTAAGGTGTAAGACAAAAAAAACCCACACAGATTAAAAATATTTTTAATATAGCTTAAAATTGTACAGTTTGTCTACTCAAATACAGCGATGAAGTAAAATTAGGCTGACATTAGAGGCAACTTATTTAAGTATCGTGTACTTATTATTGTTTTGTATTTAGTAAAGAGTGGATTTGTCAAAGTATAATTTAATAATTGACAAATTGAACGTTTTAAAAACTCAGACGATTAACCTTTAACTTGTATGGTTATAGTATGAATACGTAATAAGGTTGCGCAACCGTCGAGTAAATTATTAGCAGTTACTATTAAACAAGTTAATAGCAAATATATGTCCTGATAAATATTCATAAACGGTAAATGACATGAATTTGAAGTAATTTAACTAGTTTAAACTAGTTTTACTTCACATCATATAACTTTCATTACTTATCAAGTATTTTGTAGTCACTTATATTGTAGTGGTCTTTTTGGAAAAAAATCTGACATTCATTGTTGAACTGTTTTGCAAGGTCTAACTATACTCTGTAATTACTGATACGTTTTAATGTTTAGTATAGATTTCTGAGAGATGAGATATTTTCCCACGGTAAAAAGTGTCCTATATGTTGACCCGGATAAACAAGCTATCATGAACCTTTTATCAAAATCTGTCCAATGGTTTTCTTGTGATACTTTACCAGACAGAAAGAGATAAAAAAATTAAAAACTATATATTCGGCTTTTGAATCGATAATAATGACTATTTCAAAAGGATTTTCCAAAAAATATTTAATGTACATATTCGACTCAGAATTTGTGTGCATTCATATGTATATATAATAATACTCTATGATGACATGATCTAATGTGACTCGCATGAGTTTGAGTATATCACATGTGACTCTAGGACATTCTAAAAAACAAGATACAATCTTGACAATTATCAGAATATTAGATGAGAAGTAATCTGTGCAATCTATGAAAGAAAAAAATACCAATCGAATTGAGAACCTCCTCCTTTTTGAAGTCGGTTAAAAGTAAAATTGAGTAGTAATTAAAGAAATTAAGTTTCATGTCTATGATGAACCAGTTGTAGTCAGATATTGTTTTAGATGTCGATGTCAAATTGAAATTTTTAGGTTGACATTCTTTCAACACTCCTTCAGTTGTTATCTTCCTTGAAAGTCGGGACAAAAGTATGATAGAAAAGTCACATACTAGTTAAGGGTTAAGGTAGAAATAGTAAAAGTCAATGTCTTCATATAAGTGAAATTACGTAACTTAAATACCAAAAGGTGGAATTAGTAACTATAAACGGTAAGTAGATTACTTTGATAATTTATCATAACGGTACCGAGTACTTAAAGATGAAGGAATTATTATGATAATTATTTAATATTGGTATAGTGACATGTAGTATATGCGACAACATCGTTTCTACCAGACATGGGTGTTTGACTGAAACATAGATGAAATCAAGTTGCTCCCGAAATAGCCTTTGTGTTGATATTTGATAAATTCCTAAACGATTAAATGTAAAGTAGGTTAGCAG